GCTGCTGTAAAGCCTGGATTGCAGTAAAAAAACCAAGGTCCAAGAGGTTCAAGTCAGGGCTTCGCGGGGGCTGGTTTTCAACAACCAGAGTGAGTGTACTGTTCTTCCACAATACACCAGCAGCAACATGTCCGGGGGCGTTGTCTTGCTGAAGTCGGATTCTCCTTGTATCTCGTGGCCACTTCTCCTCGATTGCTGGCACCAGCTTGGACAACAACATCGCTCTATATGCCGCACCGTTCACATTGATACACTTCGTCTCCATGGTGCCTGCCGCGCGATTCTTGGACGTTCGTTTCGCAGCTACTTGAGTAACAAATGGCCAAATCCCGAGCTTCCCATCAAAGTGCTGATTGCGGTGGGTGTCGAATCGTGGTCGGGCAACAGCAGCCAGGAACATAACTTGCCCAATGTAACGTTTGTTCTTGTGTCTTCGCTCCGGCAACACTTCCTTGGGTGCGACGTAAAATCCCCGACCAGATTTGTCCATACGAAACCACTTTGCATCCACATGGATGGTGTCGTCGAAGTCCCGGAACGCATACCCCGACGTCACATCAACACTCTCCACTACGTTCTGTAGGCAAAACGCCAGACGAGATTGCATGTGCAACGGTGTGAGAGCCGGCTTCAAGTTGGTTGATCGGAAGTCCAGGACCCCTTCTTGGACTCGGCGATGCAGCGTCGACTTGGACACATTCGCGTGGAAGGCGACACTGCGGACTGACTGGCGGTATTCGAGTCCAACATTTGTCACGGCGTTCAGGATGTTTTCGTTGGCGAGTCGAGGCCGACCGCAACGTTCACGCCGCTTGGTCTCCAAGGCGGCGAACACATCAGGATCGTCGTTGCATTGGCTGCGCTGTTTCCACAACTGGGCTACTGATGTGCGGCTACAGTTGAACTTCAATGCTACCAGGGTAAAGGTCCCATGGGGTAGCGAGGTACCAACGGCAGCGTCGTGAAGTGCGAGCAAGATAGCGACCTTGGTAGCGGTCGGGA